TGTTACTATGGTGAGGGAGAAGGCCAAAGATATTTATTTCTCCATGAGGTTTTTACTGGGAGCTGCAAAGGGTCATGCAGTCTGCTGCCCTAATCTCATTGTTTACAGAAGTTGATATGTGAACCCTATCAAAGCTTGTGAAAGAAAACAAATCCTAATCTCCCTTTCTGCATGCTACAGCCCAGCCTTGTTGTAACTGAGCCCTTCTAGCAGTCTCCTTTTCTGGCACTACAGATCCAGAGTAGTGTGGGGTGTTGGAAGGCATTATTCACATGTCCTACCAGCTTTGAGTAATACTGTGACTCTGGCTAAGTCCATATTGTCCTTGTATCAAGCCAACACATTATTTCCTCATTTTTATTGTTTCAGGTCTTACAGCACACTTTTTCAGCCTTCCTCCTTCACTTTCTTTCCAACCCTGTGTTTTTCATGTGGCTTTCCATGGAGTAATTTGTTTTTTATCAATAACTACTCAGCTATGATTCAATGATTATTTTACTCCAGTAGTGCATGGGTTTCCACAAAGAAGCTTAAATTCCATGTCATTAAAATGCTGTACAAAATCCATCTGTGTTGGACAAACCAACCTTCTGGAAAAGCTCTAAGAGGAAATGATCATCTATGTACTTGTAGATAAATTGCCACAGAATTTGTTACTATGCCACATCTAGGAAGGAATGCAAGAATTAGAGCAACTCATGAGCAACTCTGTCCCTCTGTCTGTAGGGGAATTGTGATATGGTCCTCAGCAAGCATGACTTTATTTGTGTAGCAGTGGGAAATTGCTGTAACACAGGAATCACAGTGAGAAAGTTCAGTGTGAGATCTTATGAAAGGTATTTATTTGCAAATCTTTAGGCAAGTTGATTTTAGACACTCACACTCATTCTGCTGTAGAGTTAATTCTCTGACACTCTGATACTCATATATTCTTGATCCCCCACTCAGAGAGTCCCAGTGGCCTGGCCAGGATCCCTTGAGCTTGACACAAAGGAATGGGGGTGCTGCTGCCATGCCCTCACTACAAGGCCTTGACTAGGGACAACAAAGTGATTTCTGGACAGATCTGTCATTTCCCTTAGGAGGCATCCGCTGATATCTTTTACCTCAGAATCCTGTTTACTTTGTTCTGCACAAATGATAGGCCAGGATGCTGCCCATTGCCTGTTTTTCTCTGTTTTCAACACGTGTGTGTTCCAGGCAGGATAACAGGAAAGGCAAGGGGTGTCTGACACTGCAGCCTTGGTACCATCCTCCTGGGATCAGGATCCTGGGTTTTTTGCTGACAGGTCATCTGTGTTGTGGCTGTTTTCAAATGCAGGTCCTTGGCCTTGACATAAACAGAGCAATTCCTTAACTTTTCTGCTGGGCATGGTTTTCTGTGTCATCAAGTGTCCATCCTTTTAACCCTCTGTTCTGCTGCTGCTTTCACACCTTTTCATTCATTCTTAACTCCCATCTTCCTTTGCTTTGCTGTTACAGATCACTCCAACTGCTGTAGACAGTCCTGATGCCCTTTTATTAGAATTCATATTCTCTCTAAAATATCTAATTTAATGCCCCCCCTAGCCTTTGACAGCACACAGATGAATGCTCTGTTGAAGTGTAAATGAAGCTTGTAAATGTAATCTATCATACTTGGTGAAAGAACTTCTAAATTTTGGGACACACACACTCTATCCCCTATATCTGCTGAAGCACAGACTTCTTGAAATGCCAAAATATGTGTGAAATAATGAAAACACTGAGGTGGCCAATATCAACAGCTTTAAAAATAACAAAATTACGCCTGCCAAAATAGGAATGGAAAATTGATAGTCTATATTTCCCATGACGTGGTGGAAGATTTGAACAGACTGCTCCCACTGATGTCATGAAGTTACTGCTCTAAATTTACTGTTAGTAGGTGAAACCCAAACCATTCCTGGTTTAATATCTTTTTGATTGTTCCCAGCAATAGAAGTTATAGATTATTGCTGACAGGAGGCAAAATGCTGACTCTACCTTAACCTTGAAGCTGAGGTTTGCTAGTGCTGACCAGTGCTGACCAGTGCTGGGTATGAAGTCGAGTTAGCAGTCTGTGTTAAGTGTGCAGCTACATGACAGCAATTAGACACTGAAATGTAGAATAGCACACTGAAGTCACTAATTAGTCTTTTGTAGGTAGCTATTAAAAGCTGATCAACTGAAAACTGACCAGTAGGAGCTTGCATGCTCCTGGCTTTAGGATTTTTTAGCTACTCACTATTATTTGAAAGTGGAATTCTTAAAACCTGTTCTTTTAGTAACCTTATTCTTCTTTCTGCAACTCAATTAATTTGTGACACTGAGGCTAAAATGTGTTTCTGATGTCAGTGACTTGTGACACATATGCAGTTAAATGGGATAGTCTGAAACTCCAGCTGCATTAAGGGGAGAACAAAATTGCAAATGCATGATGCAGTACCTTAGAGAGAACAGAACTTTACTGATCCAGCAGTTTACCCTGTGAGTTCTAATGCAGAGGAATGTTTTCTAGGGACAAGTATTTGGACCCGAGAGGACAGGAAGTTGCAAGGCTGGATTTATTAGAGCTGGAAATAAATTTTGCACAAGGTAGAACTTGCATTTTTTTCCCCCTAACATTGAGATCTAATAAAAATGGAAGTTAAATGGGGTCAAGATGCCACAGAAGACTACAGTGAGAGATGCCACACACTGTCCTATGTACATCTTAATGCAGAATCCTTGATCATGATCTAGCATGCAAACATAGAGCTGTGGTCTGTGACTATTTTTGTAACCATACCCTTTTTGTCTTTTCAGAGCTTGGACTGGACTCTGGTACAGCATTCACCACAACTGTACAGAAATGCATGAAAACATTAAAAAAAAAATTGGTGGAAATTTGAGTCAGAAAAATCAGGACCACCTGTTCCTGCCTGTACCACAGAACTCCTATGTATCAACCTAATTACTCCAATCAAAGTGCTCCTAATTTTCTAATGTCAAATATTTGCATAGGTACTTCTAGGTAGCTGAAACACTGAGGACTTCAAAGCTGCAGTTGAAGTTTGCTATACATGTCTATACATATATCCTCAGAAATGGTGCTGGTATTGATATCCAAGCTGGCTCATTTTCAATTAATTCTGATAAACCTGCAGTTCCGTGTACATTTATATACATATAATGCAGAAGTTTCTATACACAGGTACATAGAATCATAGAATTGCCTGGGTAGGAAGGGACCTTAAAGACCATCTTGTTCCAAGCCCCCTGCCATGGGCAGACACTTTTCACTAGACCAGGTTGCTCAGAACCCCACCCAACCTGGTCTTAAACACTTCCAGGGAGGGGGCATCCACAACTTATCTGGGCAAACTGTTCCAGTGCCTCACCATCCTCACAGCAAAGAATTTTTTCCTAATATCTAATGTAAGCCTCCTCTGTCAGTTTGAATCCATTGCCCCTTGTCCTGTCACTACAGACTCCCTTCAGGAGCTGAAAGGCCACAATTAGGCCACCCTGAAGCCTTCTCTTCTCTAGGCTGAACAATCCCAATTCTCTCAATCTTTCCTTGTAGGAGATGTGTTCTATCCCTCTAATTATCTTAGTGGCCAATCCAACAGATTCATGTCCTTCCTGCACTGAGGACCCCAGAGCTGGATGCTGTACATGTATGTGTATGAGCTGCAGGTTTTTGAGAATGAAGACAAGCTAGTTTGGGTACCAGTAGCATTCCTGTGGTAAACACAATCTTCCCTGTCAGTTATAAACCAATTTCTTCATGACAGGGACGCTGGAACTCGCGAGGTATCTGGTGAGAAATGTTGGTGCCTTAGTGTTTTCTTCAGCCTTCGGAAGTGCTGGTTAATCTGCAAGTCTTGAAGGCTTTCTCTGTCAACTGAGAATGCCCTACTGAGAGAGAAGAACACAGCCTTATCAGAAAATTGATTAAATGTACTTGCTTGAGACTTCCATGTTACAGTAAGGTGCCCATGAAATGACCATGGAGAAATAGTTTTATTCAGTGCACTTAAAGTGAAACAAAGAGTACCTCAGAAAAGGCATTGTAACCACTTGTGCATTACACAGTGAACATGGCAAGTACTGAATTTACTATAAAAGTATCCACCAACCAGACAAGCAGAAAGAAAAAAATATTACTCCTCCCTTCCCCCCCACCCCAGTGTGAACAAGGTTAAGAAGCATTTGTGCAAATGGATATATTTCTGGCTTGGAGCCAGCTGGGGAGAGAAAGCAATTGCTATAGATAGAACCCCAGAAGGTCTAACAGAAGTTGTAGCAGGCTGTTGGAGGCTGAAGTATGTCAAGAATGAGGTTAGCAATTAGTAGTTCCAGAGACTTTATTTAAGTGGAGTCTGCTCACAGGTAGCAGACTCCACAGAATTCTAAACATGGAAGCAGTTGCTAGTGTTCTTTCTACTACTTGAGACAGCAAGTATAAACATTTCTGATTTACTAAGAGTAGGAGACTTCAACACACATTTAAGGGTCCTGGCCACTTGACAGCAGCAGGCTTAAACTTCCACAGATGTAAAAGTATTTTTTCCCTGTCATTAAAACCCTCACCTCTGAAGGAACATTACCAGAACTGATCTTGATCAAATATGTATTTTATACATGGCATATTACAATTTTTTTAAATCCAAAACTAAGTTTATTTTTCCAATAAAATACTATTGTATTAATTTTGGCACAGGCACACAACATCATCATGCTCTCTATTCAGACAGTACATACATGTATCCTTTATTTTCCATGTAAAGAAATTCAGGGACAAGCCTTTGGCCAACCTGCTCTAATACAGTTATTTTGCCTTATTTGTAACTCAGCTGGGCCTGCTCAGCACAACAAACACAACTGTATGTAACAATGATGTGTTTCTGAGGCAGTAATATCTTAACTGCTCTTAAATCACTAATGTTTTGAACATTTCACACATATTTACAAATAAAAGGAAAGCTGGGTACAAAAAAAATGCACACCAACTAGGATTAGTGAAAGAAAAGATTGTTATGGAGGTGGATGTGTAAACCTGTGAAGCTTACAACAGGCAAAACCAGCCATATCCCCAAACCTCAGACTTATCTGCCCCTAATAATGGTTAACAGTTTTCAGCAATGTATAATTAGGGATAAATAAAATAACTTTGAGACTGGAAACTACATTTCTCAAAGCAGCAGTTTTCATTAATTGAATTGTTATCTTTCTTGCTGCTTCTTGAGCTGAGGCATCCAGTGGTTTACTATAAAATGAGCCTGTGTACAAATGCATTCAATGAGTGGTTATTTCAAGGAGAGTTTATGTTCTGCAGAAGAGTAAATGAATCTTTTCCCTTTTGAGATAATTGCATTTTCAGGCCTCTGTGAGTTATGGAAAGTGATGACAATTTGGAGGTGACAACTCTTTGTGAGGTACAATTGCACAAGGTACAAGGAGAAATGACCAAGAAGCTCCAAGTGGCCTCTTTTATAATATATTCTTACAGACCTTCACACAGCACTTAAAAATGTTTGAAGCCACAACACATTATACATAACAAGAGCCAGACACAGGCTATCATAAAGGTTTTTGGAAAGACTACAACCTAACCTAATGAATAACAAATATGCCTTAAAATGCAAAGTACTTGTTTTAAAAACAAAATACTACTTTAAAGTGGATCTTTAGGACTTTGATCTGACTGCCACCCATCTTCTTGAGAAGAATATTCTTCTTAAGATCTACAACCTGGCTGTCAGGCTGCCTGCTATTTCAACAGTTTAAGCTCCTCAGTCTCCACAATTTGGGCTTCTAGCAATAATTTCCATAATGTTTTCAAGAGTTAAAATACTTTATGTTGCAAAGCACTGGATTAGATCTCAAAAACTGGACTTTATTCTTGTTTCTGTAGGTCACCCAGATGGGTAATCTGTAAGGTTACCACTCTATTCTTCAGTTTCTTCACCTGTAAAATGGGGATAATTATATTCACTAGCTTTTAACAAACATTTCAAGATATACATGGTTAAGGATTAAGCAGTGTGGATAATCCCTGATGAGTAACACACAGCTGCTAACACACTGATTTATTCACTTTCATATTAGCATCTTTATTTAAACATTCACAAAACATTCATTTTGTCAAACAGGAACTGCAAAGAGGCTTTTATCCAGCACAGGTGTAATTAGAATAGTAGAGAAGTGATGAGACTTTGAGCTCAAGACATGATATATCTGGTATTTTAACTTCAAGTAACTGCAGTAGCAAAAAGAGTTTCCAATTCAAGTCTGCCCTCTGCTGGCTCTAGCAGAACACTGCTAATAAATTTTGGATCAATAGTATCTTTCTGTAATGAGGAGAAGGAAATAAATTAATAGACGCTGATATATTTATTAATTTACACCTTTATTCAGCATTTATAAAAATTTTGTAATAATAGCTAAATTATTTGTAGTATTTTTTAAAGTCCCATCTAGGCTCCCTGTCACATTTATGTTTTTCAGGATTTCAAAAGCCCATCAAGGTATCATCCATATTAAAGTCGCTGGAACTAAAGTATAACATGGGAGGTATCATTCTGCATGTGGCTTTAAAGAAATTTAATAGAAAAACTACAGCAAAATATTTTGCTTGATACAATTAATGACTCTAATAGATAGTGCTGTATGTATTAGTCAAGTACTAAAACAGACCAGGATAAATTTAGTCTAGTACTCTGACACTAGAAGCGGGCTGTCACCTTAAAATATGAGAGGAAAAAAGAAGACCATTTATTACTGTGTTTATTTTAGAAAGAATTTTCCATCACAAATACCACACACAAATAACTCATCCCTAAACTCAGGACGACTCATTTTCCTTTCTATTTTTAAAGTAAGAAAGTAACTGGGGTGTGGGGAACTATCTTATTTATACTTACACCAATTCATCTAGAATGATTTCAACCCCAAGGTGACATTGGTGTCTGAAATACAAAATCTGTATAATTATGTGCTGGATGATGTGATCAAGCTGAAAAGCCTCTGGTTCATATATCTTGTCATCTTCATGCTTCGTTACACATAGCAGCATTTAATCTCTTGTGACTGCTACCTACATCTAAAATAAAGGAGTACAATATTGTTTATTCAGATGTGTACTTTATATACACTTGAAAAAAAGGGAAAATCTAAAAGTATTACAGAAATGGCATTTTATTTGGCCTGTTTAAATGCTTGGAAATCAGTGTCAGATTCACAGCTTGTGCCAAATGTGCCTAATAGACTTTATAAAGCAGAACAAAAGGAATTTTCACAAGTTCCTTGAATGGCCTCTGCATCTGCTAAAATTCTTGCTGAAATGGTTCTCATTCAAAACTGAAACCTTTAGGAGTCCATTAACATTTTACAAGAAGCAGTGAAAAGCACACAACTAATCTGCCGTTATGGGTTTGGGGTTGGATTTTTTTGTTTGTTTGTAGATTTGTTTTGTTTTTTGGCTCTAGGCAGGAAGCTATGGAAAAGCTACTGAAATCTCATTAATCACTGTAGTGACTACTGCTACACATCACCCTCTTAAACTGGACTCCAGCATCTAAAACGACTAAAATGCAGCTGTTCTGCACTTCTAGGAGAATGAAGTTTGAGATTTTTAATAATCCTGACTGAAAAACAGCAGCAGTGATTGAAACACTGATAGGGATTTCCCTGAAAGTTCATTTGTTTTCTGTGCAACAGTGGAAAGAGTCTTAGATGAACTTACAGGCATGTGAATCAGGCTGACAGTATATAGAGAAAACAACCTACTGTGTCTACTTGACAATGTTTTGAAATTAGTAAACTCTAAAAAAGTTTGTCTGGGCTAAATATGGCATATGACTCCACTAAAATAGACAAAGTATGGACAGAAATTGTGTATGAAAGGCAAAAGGGAAGTATTTTAAGAGACTAAATTTTATTTTAGTAGAAGAGTAAAAACTTCATTAACCATGAGTCGCGCTTCATTTAATCTTGATAGCACCAGATGAGACTTGGAAAGAAAGAAAAGAGCTTTCCTTGATTGCCTTCTGGTATCTAGGAAAGGCCTTAATTACTCTTCATTATGATACTAAATTACTGATTCTAATCTTCCATGTGCTGAAGATCTCAAAGAATTTGTAGTGAAATCTGAACTACTGAAATGCAAAAACTAAAGACAGACATAAACCTTGATACTTTCATCTGCACTGCTGAATTTCCAAATTCTGAAAGGCAGCTCTTGCTGAGGCTCAGCTTCAGCAGGAAGCTCAGGCAGCACACACTGATGGAGACTCTGCCAGGGGATGTGACTGCTCCTCACCTTGCTGGTCATGGTTAAGCCCTGTTGAATTAGGAATATGACAATAGGTTTGTCCTTAAATTTCTGAAGTCAATTCACCCAAAGTGAACAATGAAGATAAATTAATACCTATGTTCAGTTTAAATAATTAGTCCAACTTTTAGATTTATTACAAATTATTCCATTTATTCATGTACATGACACATTTCCTTTGTTGACTGGGCAGTCTTATTCAAGATCTGAAAACACACATATTTTTACCTTTCCTTTTATGATCTGGATTCTGTAATTTGCATTACAAGTTGTTAAAACTATAATAATGACAGCACTAAAACCTAGATTGTGCTATGCTTTTAATTCTATTGAAATTAAAGCTGCACTGAATTAAACTTTAATTTATACTTTATACTAGTTTCAACAAATTTATAGTTTATACTAGTTTCAACAAACACCCTTCTTGTTTTGGAAGTTACAACAAAAAATTATACTTAAGGATATATACAGTAACTGAAATTATATGTCATTTGTTTTACTGGGACTTAAGACAAAACCCACAACAAACTGGCAAAAAAACCACACCAACCTGTTTCAGGTCTACCTGGCATATTTCAACTCAGAGTTCTCCTTTTTGCTTTACTACATGTTTTCCCTTAGCTTATAACCAGAGTTAATTAGTAGCTTGTTGTATACCTTTAGCCTGCAAAATCTGAGCATGCATATGAAAGCTCTATTGTAAATCAGTGAGGCGAGTTCTGTGCATCAATCAGTTACATTTCCAAATATTTCACTGTCAGAAAAAGTTGTTTTAGCAGCACTTTTTTGTAGTTGGATGCTAAGAAAGACTATTAACGCTCATTGAAGAGAGAAAGCAGAACATGACTTATAGTTAGAATTATTATTTTTCAAATGCTGTAATTCTATGTCCTGTATCAGAGACAAATATTTCATTTTTCTCTGCAAAGACTTATGTTATCAGTTTCATGGTTGTTCCACCACTTTACAATTTACTAAGGTTGGAATTGGTATAAAGGCAAGTATACAAGTAAAGACTTTGGAAAATCAGAATATATTATTTGTTTTCCTCACCTTGTTTAAATCATAGTAAAAATTTGCCTAAAATTAGCATATTTTAAGTCCTTTAAAATCTTTATATATATGTGCTGTTAAAACAACATATTCTTCAGCAACAAAAATCTATTTGAGATCTGTCTACAAAGAAAATGTTTACATTAATAAAATATCTTTAGAGGAAAATCCTCCTAGAGTTACCAAAACCTTTGCTGCTCAGCTGCTTAAAAAAGAGCTTAATTAAAAAACAATTAAAAAAAATATGGGTATTAGTTTTGGCCTCAGAAAATCCTTTTATCCATCAGATTTTTGCGTATCACCAAATGTATATAAGGAATCAGATTACTGTTTTCATCCTTGGCCAAATATTGCAATTATAAAAACATGCATTGAAGAACTGTTGCACTTTTAGAAAAACGATCTACGGTAAAAGGTAGCAGCATGTCTAAGTGTAACATTTAATTTTCAGTATTAAGCAAAGATGTGCAGAATGGGAAAGTCATGCTTCAAAGAACGCTACAGTTGTGAAGCAGGTAATATTCAATTTTGAAGCACATCAACAGTTCTTCTCAGAGGTCTCTAAAAGCTTTTGAGGAGGTTCTTTCAATGCTGTCTCACCTCAGACTGCTGTTTCTCCTTCCCTGGCCTCAGGAGCTGTAATGAAAAACAATGAGATTGTAACTCCATGTCACCACTCAGTTTTTGTTTGTTTTTCAGTAAATAAATTGTACAATTACTGTATTAAATATAAAAAATTACTACAATTTGCTGTTTGTTCCTGCCACTCTGATCATTCTACTAATTGTCAGCAATTTTCAGCCAGCAGCAAAGCCCCACACAGCCACCTGCTCACTATGCCTCACAAACACTGGGACCAGAGAGAAAATCAGAAAGGTGAAAGCCAGAAAGCTCATGTGTTGAGATAAAGACAGTTTAACAGGGAAAGCAAAAGCTGTGCCCACAAGCAAAGCAAAACAAGGAATTAATTCATTGCTGCCCATGGGCAGGCAGGAGTTCAGCCATCCCCAGGAGAGCAGGGCCCCATCACATCTAATAGTTACTTGAGAAGACAAACACCATCACCCCAAATGTCTCCCCCTCCTCCTTCTTCCCCCCACTTTATATACAGAGCAGGACGTTCCATGGTCTGGAATATCCCTTGGGTCTGTTGGGGTCACCGGTCCTGGCTGTGTCTCCCCTCAGCCTCTCATGAATTCCCAGCCTTACCAGCACAGCAGTACAAAAGGCAGAAAAGCCTTGGCTCTGTGTAAGCCCTGCTCAGCAGTACCAAAACTTCTCTATATTATCAACCCTGTGTTCAACACAAGTATAAAATACAGCCCTTACCAGCCACCATGAAGAAAATTAACTTCACCCCAGCTGAAACCCACACAGTGACTGGCAATATCACTTTTCTTGGAAATATTTCATATCAGGCAGTGACCACAGTATATCCAACAAGTATCATACAGAAATAAGTATGAAGATTTTAATTTGGACAGAAATTTTTTATATGCATTACAGCTCTGCATTTCAACTATGCCAAATGTAAGAACTCAAATACACTCACCCCAAACTAATCTAGGTCTCAATAACATTCAGAAGACAGTTTAGAATTCTAGTTACTTTGCACATGACCTAATTAGACAGCCTAAGTCTTTGCTCGTTTGACCATAGTACTTTCCATTTCCCTTTGTCTCTGTCCTTTCTTGTCTTTGTGAAATGAAAAGGAACATTTCTCAGATCAGTGGTACTGCAGAGAAGCAGGGATTTATTAGACTAAATGAATAGGAATACTAAAATGGAATAGAAGGAACATCATTATTAGGGCACAATAAAAATAGGAAGTTTAGTTGTAACAATGAAGTGAAATAGAATGTCTAGTCATAATATTCTACTATTTTTACTGACATCATAAAGATTCAGCCTGCAGTGGAAATCTGTTGAAGAGCTCTTCCTTATGTTCTCGTGCTATTTATACTGATTTATGGTATAATCCTGAAGCAAGAAACATCCATCATTGCGTTTTTGAAATCTAAGTTCCTCCTAAATAGGGTCAAACTCAAACTTTCCCAAGTAGATGAATTTAATGCAGCTTTTTGTCAGTAAATTGGGGAAATCTCAAAAGTGAGATTGCTAAGTGCACAATGGAGGCCTGCAGGGATTTCCTACAAAGTTTACAGTGATTTTTCACAGACTTCAATGTGTCACTGAACTTTGTCTCCTTCACCAGCATCTGAGTTACATGTACTGTTGCATGGCTTTACTTTGTGGTTTGCTGAGATAAATGTTTTAGAGGTCTGGAATTCTTTAACCCGAAAGGTACACTTTGCACTCAAAAAGATGAGTGATCAAGTGATATTATTTCATGAATCTGACACTTCAGCAATTCAGTCATGTCTATAAGAATCTCAATTCTCTCATTTACCAATAAAAATGGAAATATTTGGCCATTTTACCATGAGTACTAGTGATATTTGCTGTGAAAACACTTGTGGAATTACTGCTAATTGAGTCAATAAAACGATAGGTATTCATATTCTTGTTGTCCAGTTGAAACCTCTGCAATTTTGTTTCTGATTTTATTGTTATTGCTGACCACATGAAGCTACAAGGCACAAGAAATTCAAAGACATTTATTTTTTTTGCAACTAAAGGCTTTCCACATCTATGGTATCACTAATTTTCCTTTGTCACTCCAGCAGCTGGGGGCTCTTATTCTCCTTAGTTAATGGATACAGCATTCCAAGCAGTTTTGTCTTCATTATCAGCCATAAGAAAAAAAAAATCAAAATCCTTCATAGGAGTGTTACCACAATAACTTACAAACATGAATACTCACAGCACACCCAAAAAATCCTGTTTCCATCTTCTCCAGGCAGAGTCATCTCCACCCATTTTTTTGGGTATTAGGTTTTCTCCCTACAAAACAGCTCATTGTTTCATGCCCCATCACAGGCACATTTGCTTTTAGAGGCTAATTGCCTACATTTATGTGACTAGTGCTGTCCCATGAACTTGCAGGGAGGATGACTGCTGCTCTCCTTCCCCCTTTGTCTGAGTCAGCAGATCACCAAAGGACTGCTGAGCTCTTAGACCCTGTAACATCCTAGGTGGCACAGGAGCCAAACAAAGGCATGGAAAACCTCTGGAGTCAGCACAACCATTTATTGGTTTTTGCTGTTCTTGTGGAGGTTGTGTGGGTTTGTTGGTTGGTTGGCTGGCTAGATGAGGTCTTTTAGGGCAAATATGATATGTTGGACAGTTGGAGACTATGAATATGTGTTATGATGAAATAAGTGCTCTTCTCCAGTCACAATTCTTAGTTTACAGACATCCTTTCACAGCTCCAGTATGCAAGATTATGTAGATCTCGAGCAGTAACTATACAGAATCAACACTGGTTTATCTGCATACCAACACACACCCTTGTGCTCTTCTAGCACTGATTTTGTTTGTGAGAAAACTGGCAAAGTAATACTAACTTTCTTGCTATTAATTTCCTGGCTTCTGTAGTTAAATTAATGAAATAACCTGCAAGCTTTTAGTCAAACATTCAAATTAACAGACATGAGAAATGAAGGCTAACATGTTTCTGTGCTCTGAAAATTACTCCTTGACTCAATGTGTGAAGGGAAGAAAAGAAGATCTGGTACATGTGTCACCTTTGGTGAGTACCCTTTCTCAAGAACACCCACAATAACATTATATGCACTGTGTCACATGTGATACTGTTAAACCAATTCTCAAAGGAGACAGAGCAACTGTTCAACCCTTCCTATCAGGTGATCTGTACTTTCGACCTTCTGAATCCCACTTGCACTAAATTTACAGGAAGGAAAAATACCTTTTGGATTTCATTCCACCACAGTGGGTCATATTTTATTGCCATATTTTGTAAGAGATTATTAACAAGCTGTGTGCTGTAATGAACAGTTGGTTTTGTATGTTTAGAAAGAACAAGCTGTAACAGTAACCACAGTGTGAAAACAGATCTTACTTGGCCTCATCTACAAAGGAAAACCAATTTAGTACAAACTGCTGAAAAACAGGTTCCTGTAAGTCAAAAAAGAGATTCAATGGTTTGAGTTCTCTTTTGAGTGTGATAATCCATTACTGATTAATGAATGTGCCTCTTGCACTACACTGGCTCACAAGAAGAGTAAATTTGTAATTTTGAATGTTGGTACAATTCTACTTATGCGTTCTAATTTGAAACATTTGACAAGTGATATACCAAAAGAACTGAAATCCAACACAAACCTATGGATAGAAAGACTTGTTCTCTCAATTTTCAGATAGAATTCCCAGTATTTCACCCCCAAAGGCATATTCTTTTGGGAAAGGTGTAGACTAATAGTCATGTTAACTTCATACTGATGTTCATGAATAAATACATAGAGAGCACTGGTGCCTAACCTTTCCATAGGGATAAGCTACTCAGTTTATAAAGGAGACAAACTCTATGCCTCTACTTTATTTGTCAGGTATCATTAAATGTGTGTCAGTGCTATGACTAGAAATGCTGGTGTATCCCATGTTTAATGTGTATGAAAGCACAGGGCACTGGGACTGGTGTAGAGCAGGAAAGGCATGTGCATCCTGTAACATGACTGCACATCTGTGCCATGACCTCACCAAAATATTCTTTCATAATTCACACACCATGGCAAAAGCAAGCCATGAACTGCCAGAACCTCTTATGTTGCCTGCAGTTTGCTACCTGCCTGTACCTGGAGAGCAAGTAGCGAGCTAAAAGCTTCTGTTTTTATCATCTTGAAATGGCAGAGCAGGGATTCATACACTGGACAGGCATTCATATACTGGAGGAGTAAATGGTATATCTGAATAAGTAAGATTTATTATAACCCTGGATTCTTTCTTGTCTCTAAAAAGCACTGACTTGCTGTTTTTCTTAATGTGACAAGATGGCTACAGAAGTTCAAGTAACTGCTGTAGGCAAACCAATATATAACATGCAGAGCTTTGCTATCCGTAGCAGACATGATACAGCCTGATGGTGTTAACTGCTGCAGCTGCATCAGTAATAGCAGAACCTGAAGACTTGCATCTGGCTTCTATCTGGCATTACAGCAAAAGGCAGGAGGCTACCTGAGAAAGAATGAAAACATGGTAAAAACACGATATAAATGATTGATTCAAAGGCATAGACACTACACAGCAAGATGTCATGTAAGTTGTGTCAAATAAAGAGCAGCTTGGTGGTTAGGGCACTGCAAGGACAAAGGCCACTCATTTATTAGTTAAAAACCAAAATGCCTCAGTGCTTATCCGGGCTCTGAGGTTTTTAAGGACAACAAAATCCAAGTGCTGTACTACCAGTTTCACTCCATCAACTCCTTGTTTCCGTAGACTGGATACATCACACAGCCTCGTATTATGAGCTGGAAAGGACCCACAAGGGTCATCTCCTGGCCCTGCACAGCACATGCCAAGAGTCACACCATGTGCCTGAGAGCATTGTCCAAACACTTCTTGAGCTCTGTCAGGTTGGTGCTGTGACCACCTCCCTGGGGAACCTGTTCCAGCGCCCAACCACCCCCTGGGTGAATAGTTTTTTCATATTATTTTCCATTTAATATCAAGCCTAAACCTCCCTTGACACAGCGTCATGGAGCCGCATTTCCAGTTTCCTCCAGGAACACTTTTCCTTATCACTCCATCTCTACCCTTCACTTACCAAAGGCACTTCCTACCCTGCAGAGGCGGCGTGTGAGCAACACCTCGAGAGCTCCGGGGAAGAACAAGCACAGGAGTGCGGCAGTTCAGGAGCCAAGGTGGGCAGGGAAACCCACAGCGCTCGCAGCCCCCGCACCCCCTCACAGCCGCCAGCCCCGCTGGGCCCATCCCGATCCCGGGGCCGATCCCTCAGCCTGCGGTGCTGGAGGGCGGCCGGGACAAGCCCGCCGGGATTGTAGCAGGCAGAGAACACTCAGGGGGCAGAGAACACCTGGCGGGCAGAGGCCACCCGAGGGACGGAGCACACCTGGCGGACGGAAGGCACCCCGGCGCCGCCATTTCCTCGGCCGCCCGAGGTCCGGCCCCGCTCCCCGCCCCGCAGCCAGGCGATGGGTCCCGCCCAGCGCACGGCGCTGTTACGAGAGCGGCTGCGCTCCTCCTCCTTCTCCTCCTCTTCCTCCTCCTTCTCTCTGCCCCGCCGCCGGGATGCCGAAGCTTAGCAAGGAGGCCAAGCAGCGGCTACAGCAGCTCTTCAAGGGCGGCCAGTTCGCCATCCGCTGGGGCTTCATCCCCGTAGTGCTCTATCTCGGTCAGTGCCGGGCGGGGGACGCGCGGGGGCCCTCGGCGGCCATTGCCGAGGCCGGGTCTGGGGCGGCCGGCTCCGATGGCCGCTCTCCGCCCCCCGACCCCTCCGGACGCTGCCGGGGAGCGGCGGGGCCGAGGGAAGGGCCCGAGGGGGGGGCCCAGGGCCGCCCCGCCGCGCTGCCCCCGCCGCCCGCGGCCATGGCCGCGCATGTGCGATGGGGAGGGCGGGGTTGCCCTTGGCAGAACTGAGACGGGGAGGCTTTCTGTTATAGTTGGGTCTTTTTGTTTGTATGTTTGTATGGTTTTTGTTTGTTTCCCCCCCTTTTTTTGTAAAGAAGAAGTATGTGATCTTCCCACTCTACTCGGCCCTAGCGAGGCCACATGTGGAGTGCTGTATCGAGTTCTGGGGTCCTCAGTACGGGAAGGACGAGGAGCTGCTGGAGACGGTCCAGCACAAGGCCGCGAAGATGATTAAAGGGACTGAAGCATCTCTCTTATGAGCAGAGATTAGGCTAGTGCTGGGCCAGTTAAGTCCAGAGAAGAGAAGACTGGGAGGAGATCTCCTTAAAGTATACAAATGTCTTAAAGGCAAGGTCTAAGATATTGGACCCAGACTCTTTAGTAGTGCCCGGGTACAGGATGGGGAGTAACGGCCATAAACTAGAACACAAGAAGTTTCACCTCAACATGAGGAAGAAATTCTTGTCGTTGAGGGTGGCAAAGCCCTGGAACAGGCTGCGCAGGGAGGTCATGGAGTCTCCCTCTGTGAAGACATTCAAAACCCAGCTGGACACATTCCTGTGTCACTTGCTCTAGGTGACCCTGCCTTGTCAGGGAATGGACTAGGGGATGTCTAGAGGTCCCTTCCAAGCCTGACAATCCTGTGGTTCTGTAATAAAGAGGTTTTTGCCCCTTTTTCTCCCTGGAGGCTAATCCTGTGTGAGGGCCCCTCTGGGGAGTGGGCAGAGCACTGAAGCTGCCGAACAGCAAATGGGGCTGAGATTTAACCCTGTGTCAGTGACTGCCTGCTATAATAGTCAGGGCTGTGCTTTGTGCTCCTGGGAGTCTGGTGAGCAGAACGCTGGGAGCCCTGCTTCATGGCACTGGGGACATTGCCAGCCTCTGGCTGAGATTAAATTTCCAGCAACAGGCATACAGGTTACAGTCTCTCTCCCACCAAACATGGTGTGGTTCCTGTTTCCAAGCTGCAGTGGAATGTTAAGGGCATGCCTTGCTATAGTCTATAGTGCCTGGTGCCCTGGATATATTTTGCTTGCTCCTGTCATCAGGCTAGCCAGGCATAACTACCACACAATATTTCTCCTGCTGAGTTACAGCTGTATGCCATCAGCTGCCCTTGTTTAAGAGAAGCTGGACACTTTTATTCACTTCTTTTATAACAGAGAGGCCCCAGGAAGGCTGATCCCTGCAATTCATTTGGCTTACTTTCTGTGCAAAATGTTGGGTTTTTTGGGAAAAGCACCTAAGTCAGACAGGCATCTTTGCATTGAATGCAAACATGAAGGAGGGCTGGGAGCTTGATGTGTTTCCAGTCAAATCTGAGAGGTTGTTTTGATTAATTGAAGGGAGTGCGCTGCCTGGTTTGAAGGGCTTTGATTGTTTATAGATAACAACCAGGAAAACCTTGTTCTTGTCAGCTGTTACAGAAGTGCTTTAACAACTGCAAGCAAAAGAAATCACTTCAAAAACTATGGAAAAAATAATTACCGTTATTAGGTCTGCTTTTCCATTGCATTTCCATTTTTACTTTATAAATTCTTTTAAATGAATAAGTTTTGGGTGGGAATTTCAACAGTGATTTGTAACCTAATTTGTTGTTGAAGTTTTGTTTAGATTTTGCTTCCCTGACAGTGTCTATGGATGTCAGAAAGATGGTCTTTCTTCTTAGTGACATCAGAGTGTCACATTAGTGACAGTAATAAGTTACATTGGTGACATTAAATAGGTTACTTCAAATTGTATAAAGCCACCTTACTGTATTTACAGTTGCACTAGCATCGGGGTGTGTAGTATATTTTTTGTTATGTAGCAGTGAGAAATTTAAGTTGTAGTAGTTTAGGTTCATATCTCCAGAAAATAAGTGTGTTGTACCACATCTACATTGCCTTCTTATAAGTTTATCTGCAGTAATGAAAGTATAAGCAGATGAGAAGGGGAAGAGCAGATGCCGCCTTGATTGCCATAGACATTTGGAGGTGGCATGTACCCAAAGTCTGCAGGATTGGAAGAACCTCTTCTCTACTAGGATTACTTTTGACTCTGGGACGGAAGGTGTGACCCCATAGGTATCAAATACATGCTGAACTAAAAATAGGCAAGGAAATGATCAGCAAATCTGAGCCTGTAGCTTTCTCTGTAAGGCTTTCTATCTCAGGGCATGTATGAGGAGCCTAGTATGAGAATGTGCAGTTACAGGTCATTGGTGGGGTTTTGTTGTATTATTTTAAACTTTCTTTAAAGTGGCTGCCCTGGTTTTAAGTCAGTAAATTAGACCAATGCAGTTTTGTTAAACCTGATTTGCTTATTTAAAAATCTGGGGGTGAGGGAAGGAGGCAGAAACATCCACACACACAGTGTGGCTGCAATTCATGAATTTTTAAGCTGTGTTGCTGAACAGTATGGCAGCCAAAAACTTGGGTCAGGATATCTGATAGTCTCAAATCATCCAACATTAACTTCAAAGAGCTTTTCCAGTGCCTGTGAAGTTAATGGAAGTTTTTCCATTAACCTTTGTGGCCTGTGTTTCAGGCAACATGACATTAATTATTTATTTTCTGTAAACGAGGGAAATAATATAATTTTCATGAAACCTTCACTTCTAGATAGCCAGTGAAGTATTGAACAGTGCCTGAATTTTTCTGCATGATTCTGTTTCAAGACTTTTATATTACAGTCCAGAGAACAAAGATACTTCATATTCCAAACCTTCAGCTGCTTCCCTAGTATACATATACTTTAATCAGTTGGTGTATTTGAATTTTTGGGGGCTGGGGATGAACTCTTTGTAGTTAACTGTCATTTCATTTTCCTGGGTATTAGAGAACAGCTTGTTGGTTTGCAAGCTTTAGTAGTGTGTAACTTTCTGCAAAAAATGCCAATCAGAATAGAAGATTTGAGGGTAAATTGATTTAACATTTAGCATTCTGTCATGCTAAATTGAGTGAACTGTTACTGAAATACTGCTTTTAAGGTGTGTGTCAGATGTCATTGGAGAATTGCCTGTTAGGCTTCAAGGTGCTTACTCTACACCAGTTTTAGGTGTCTTTGTTGGTAGAGCGCTGCTAGGTTGCTTTCTGGACAACATTTAACATCTGTGGGTTTGTGTGTGTAAAAGTATGAATGTCTTGATCTCTGGCATAGATGTCTTCCTTCATCTCACACAGTTAGTTGATCCTGAATTTTAGGTCAGGTAAAGATGCAGGTAAGACTTTTTAAAAAAAGAAAAGTTTACATTGGTATTTATTTTCTTTCTTTCTAACCCTTGTAAGAATGTGCAGTTTTTATTCAGGTTAGTGCACAGCTTCATGAATCACAATTCTGTGTTCAGTAGTTTTCATTTTTATTGCTATTTAACGGGCTGGAATAACTTCACAGAGATTTAACTGTGTAGCAATCTCTACATACTTGTTTATTTTTATATATGTATGTAATGTATGTTTCACTTCAGGTTTTAAAAGAGGTGCAGATCCTGGAATGCCCGAGCCAACTATCTGGAGGTATGTATTGGTTCCATTTGTATGTACAAACCCAGTGCAGATAGTTACTGGTTATTTCTGGCCAGCAACAGTTGTGAATGATGCTTCCATCCCTTGTTTTTAATTGTTGTGGTTCTTGTTTCTTTGGAAATTCACATGACAAGTCAGTAAAGTTCTAGTTCTTGGGAAGACCTTTCTCTTAATCTTGCATAGTTTTTAAGATATGGAACTTCCTGTGTATTTTCCATGACAGCTGCCCTTCTAATCTGTTGTAGAGCTAGTTTGTGCAAGTTTCTGCACTGAACAATAACTTCTCAGATTTCTAGCACAAATTGAAACCAAAATCCAGTCTCCTTCTGCCTTGGCAAATGTGGGAGTAACACTGCATAATAAAAGGTGCATGAAATAAAGGGCTGTCTCCTTCAGTATTAGTCACTGTCATGAAGCAAAGTGGATTTGGCTCATGTTGCCTCTTTCTTGTGGGACTCTTTATTATGCTGCAATGTTATGGCATTAGTAATGCTTACATTCTAGTGACATTTAAGTTTTATTGAAGGGCTTCCTTAGGGCTAACTAATTAAAGTTTTGGAGAAAGGATGGTTCTCCTGTTTTTCAGGAAATGCCTTTGATTACTGTGCAGGAGCAGGTATTCCTAAAACAAATAATTGATGGACTGTATTGTTTGCAAAGTCATAGATTAACTCTTCTTGATTTACAGAGTTGCAGTGTATAGACATCCAATTTTTAGGATTCAGTGATTCAGTAGAAACGGTAGAAAATATGGGAAAATAGTAGTAAGATCATATTACAATTTCAGTGGAATTTAGTGTTGTCTTAATAACCAAGTTGCTGCAGTTGTTTGCTTACTGAC